TGCGCTCCCGCGGCGGTGCGGCCGGCGACTGTGTGCTCCGCCCGCGCCCCGGAAGTGCCGCGGCGCCAGGCTCGCTTTCGCTTTCCTCCCTCGGCTCAGTCCCCGCCGGCCGCCAGCAGGACCGGGAAATTCGCGAGCGGCGGGGCGTGAGTTGGGTCTCCTCTGCTCCAGATCTGAGTCTCAGTATAGCTTAAAAAGCCAAAACGCCGGCGCCCCTACGGCTCAGCTGGAAAGGATCGCTGCCCTGAGGGCTTCCTCTTCTAAAAGTGTTATCACATTGAGTCTGGCTTAAATAAACATACACAGACGCAGAATTAACCGATCCCGAATCCGGTTGCCAGTAGCAAGCCTTTATTTAGCACCCATGGGGTACAGAGCACCATACAAAATGAGGTTTTCGGTGCATGTAACAAATATACATTTAGGCAACAGAAATGCATATAATTACAGTTTTAAAAGTTGTTTTGGAAAAGCTGTATATACAGTTGGTTTGCTGAGAAATTAGTCAAAGGAAAACTTCTGGATCTCATGCACTTCCAGTAGGTTGCAAAGAGGAAAGAATGCAAACTGGGGATAGCAGTAGAGAAAAACAGTTTTAAAAAGGACAATTGGGTAGTCTTGACAAATAGATGAATTACAGAAGGAGTGTGGGGGCTGCAAAACAGAGAAATGAGCAGGCCCTATGGCCCTGTTTTTCTGTCCTCCAGGCAGGAGGATGTGAACGTATTCCTTGCCAGGCCAAAATGAAAAGTCGTAAAGAGACTGACATCCGGGGTTCTCCAGCAAAATAACTCAGGTAGGTCACAGTAAAGCAAAGAGCTCTTTACCACTCTCAGCTTACAATAAGCTTTTTGGTATTCCACTCTTGAGTAAACTACCAAGATCACTAACTCTGAGGAAAGATCAAATAAAAGCAAACTATAAAGTGAAAGATCAAGTAAAAGCAAACATACAGGAAAAACAAACCTTGGAGGACAGAGAATATGCAGAAATAAGAGAAAAAAACACAGATATCAATGCATGTATGTATGTGTATATATATTTGTTTGAAAGGTAACCAAGCTAAACTCAAAATCAAGTCCAAAAATAAAATAAAAAAGTCAGACGCAGTGGCACATGCCAGAGGTTCAGCACTTTGAGAAGCAGATGCAAGAGGACTGAGTCCACTGGTTCTGGACCAGCCTGTCCAACTTTGTGAGACCTCGTCTCTACAAAAACAAAACAAAACAAAAAACTAGCCAGGTGGTATGATAAGGTGCACCTGTGGTTCCAGCTGCTCGGAAGGCTGAGGTGGAAGGATCACCTGAGCCCAGCTGTTTGAGGCTGCGGTGGCACTCGAGCCAGGGTGACAGTGGACTCCTACAAAAAAAAACAAAACAAAAACTTATAATCCCCCTTAAAACCCAGAATTACTTTTTTTTTGAGTTGGAGTCTCACTCTGTCGCTCAGGCTGGAGTGCAGTGGCACCCTCACGGCCACCGCAGCCTCAACCTGCCTTAGGCAATCCTTCTGCCTCAGGCTTCCAAGTAGCTGGGACTACGCCACCATGCCCAGCTACAGAATTACTTTTAATTACTCCTTTTCAACTTGGTTTCCCATCCTAGTTCCAAGAGGAAGTTCCTGGCAGCCGAATTTACATTTTCTTTCTTTTTGAGTTGGAGTCACTCTCACCCAGGCTGGAGTGCAGTGGCATGCTCACGGCCACAGCAGCCTCAACCTACAGGGCTCAGGCGATCCTTCTGCCTCAGCCTTCCAAGTAGCTGGAGCTATAGACATATGCCACCACGTCCAACTAATTTTTTGATTTATTGTAGAGATGAGGTCTCACCAAGTTGCCCAGGCTGGTCTCGAACCCCTGGGCTCAGATAATCCTCACGCTTCGGTTTCCCAAAGAGCTGAGATTACAGGCTTGAATCATGGTGCCCGGCCTCAAACATACATTCTTCTCCAAAATTAGTTTTGACTCTTGGGGCTTCCCTTTTCTACTGGATGACCAGAGCTAGGTAACCTTAAAGCAAAGTGGTAATTCTTTCCCTTTTTCTCTAGAAAAACAATTAGCAAATCATACCCAGGACATACCAAGAGGCTGTTTCAGATTTTGCAGCTGAGAATTGTTTTGTTTTCTTGTGTTTTTTAAGTGAAATGCTTACCCAACACAATTTCTTCAGGTCTATATAAGCCAAGTTTAATAGTTTCTAGGTTTCCTTTTCTTATAGCTCTACTCTATCTAGTACAAAAATTGTCGATATTCCTCCAGGTTTTTAGTCCCTTTTCTCCTGTCTATATGTATTGAAAGAGTGAAGAAAACCTATGGAAAAGAAGATTAATCAGAAAGAATGTGCCAGAACCTTACTTATAAAAGAGGTTCTATTTCCACTCAAATGGTTGATGGGACATATGTTTCATGGAATCAGATATAGTTTCTCCAACATGTGTTAAAATACTTGGGAATAATATGCATAAGATTAGTTCTACATATTCTTCAGGCTCTGTTGCCTACCTTGTTGCTCACAATGGTAAATTACTTGTCAGTAATTAAAAATCAATTTTGTAAGCAAAGACACAAAATTTGGCCCTTTGGAGCATGAGCTAAAAGATAATAGTCACAAAAGCAATTAGAAACAACTGAGTTCTTTTATGACATTTGTTTCTCATAATATATAATTTATAAATAAATTACAAACTATACAGAGGTATTTCATATAAAATATACACTTTCACCTAGTCATGTAAAGTTGAACAGCAGTAAGAACAAGAGATACACTATGGGTATGAAAATGTCCTTATTTTGTTCTGGTATTTCAAAATCAATAAAATTAGAAATAAATATGACAATGGAAACTGAATTACTTTGATAGACTTAAATCTAAATTAATTCCACTGATGACTGAGGGTTCTCTTACATGGCTTTAATTTTGGCCTGATAAACTAGTTTCATGAACAGGCATTAGCTACACATTTATAATATTTTTTTTCTACATTTATTAACCCCACATTGGCAGAAGATTTCTTTCTCAGGCATAGTCCCTGCTTCATAACCATAATCCCAAGTTAGCTCTGTTCTTGCTTTCACATACCTAGAAAGTAGATTTAAAAACAATCACAAAATACCCTAAAAACCAAATGAGTCACACTTGATTATATCAGTTTTCTTATTAACATCGTAACAATCCTCAAAAATATGATCTATTCTCTTATCCAGCACTCAGTAATTAGGAATGACCTTTTATTAAGACTAATTATTTGAGTTTTATTTCAAATCTCCCAAAACCATAAGGAACCTGTCAACATGAAGAAGGCAGTACATTTTGCAAACAGTGGTACCCAGTGATGTGTCTGAGGTGTGCAGTATGGAAGTAGTCAGGGAATAGCTCTGACTTAAATATTTAGCATGCATCATTTATACCCTGAATTAAACTGGGTATAATCTGACATCCTTAGCGCTTTCAGGCATTTATACCCTGAATTAAACTGGGTGATAATCTGACATCCTTAGCCCTTTCAATTCTAAGTGGGAATAAGAATTGAAATTTTAGGTGTTTGAGATCTTATTAACTAGGAACAGTTTAGGAGAACTGAATATTCTAGAGTATCAGATAACTGGGGCTATAGTATTCATCATCTTTTTATATTTTCCTATTGTTATTTTTTAAATCACAATTTCAGAATTAAATCATCTATGCAAGAGCAAGTTCAAACCTGTTGGTGAAGAATGCCATCAACGGAAAATTCCTGTTGTGTGTTTCTACAAAAACACTCTGTACCAAGAGATTTGGGCAACAACTATGCTGTTAAAAAAAAATTAAACACAATGGTTAGAATGAGCATTAAGTTTGATGCCTTGTGCTTTAAAGCATTAGATTACCATTCTGTTTCTAACATATCTCACTGATGTTGTTTCTTTCTCTTTTTTTGCTAATATATAAAAGATCATAGCTCATGATAGTTCTATTAATAGCAGGAACTCATTCAGAAAAGCTGTGCTCTGACATTCATAACTTACTGGTGGAGATGCAAAAATGGTAAAATCCCTATAAAATCTGTCATTATTATAAAGGTATTTATTTTTGGATTCTGCAATCCTACATTTAGAAATATATTCTACAGATTAATCTGTATATGTATCTATGTGTAAGATTATTCATTGTTTTTAATGGTAAAAGTTTGGAAATAACACAAATATCTCCTGAAAGAGAACTGGTTAAATAAGCTTCGGCACATCCACACAATGGAATTCCATGCACCTATAAACAAAAACATACAAACAAAAAGAATGAAGAGGGCTGAGTGCGGTGGCTCACATTTATAATCCCAGCACTTTGGGAGGCTGAGGTGGGAGGATCACTTGAGCCTAGGAGTTTGAGACTAGCCTAAGCAACATAGCAAGACCTCATCTCTACAAAAAAAATTTAAAAATTAGCCAGGCATGGCCGGGCGCAGTAGCTCAGCCTGTAACCCCAGCATTTTGGGAGGCGGAGGTGGGAGGATTGCCTGAGCCCGAGGGTTCAAGACCAGCCTAGGCAACTTGGTGAGACCTCATCTCTACAATAAATCACAAAAATTAGCCGGGCGTGGTGGCATGTGTCTGTAGTACCAGCTACTTGGAAGGCTGAGATGGAAGGATTGCCTGAGCCCAGCAGGTCAAGGCCGCGATGGCTGTGAGCATGCCACTGCACTCCAGCCTGGACAGTAGAGTGAGACTCCAACTCAAAAAAATAAACAAAAATAAAAATTAGCCAGGTATGGTGGCACGTACCTGTAGTTCCAGCTACTTGGGAGGCTGAGGTGGAAGGATCTCTTGAGCCCAGAAGGTTGAGGTTGCCATGAGCTGTGACTGTGTCACTGCATTCTAGCTAGGGTAACATACTCTGACTCAAAACGAACTAACAAACAAATAAGCAAAAAAAACCCAAACAAACAAAAAAAACAAATAGAATGAGGAGCTCTCTGTGTATTGATATGGAAAAATCTCCAGAATACACTGTTAATTTAAAAAGCAAAGTAGGATAGTGAATAAAACATGTTATCTTTTATGTAAAGAGGGAGAAATAATTTGCTGAAAGAAACAGAAGAAAACCCAAGAAACGAATAAAAATGATTACCTATGGAGATGGTATAGCAGGGGCAGGGGGAATGGGAGCATAGTACTTTTCAAGGTATAGCTGTTTCTTTTTGTAACAAAACAACGTTTTCAGAAAAAAGTTTAATATAAAGAATGTACACAACCCAATGCTTATATCACCGCAAAAAAACAGGCACACTGGAGAGGAGATGTGTATACTCAACTGATTTCTCTGCTGAACACAGCCATTATGTCTCTTCGTTCCAAGGCTTCTACCTAGATAATACTACTTCCATATATATAAAATAAAATTTTTTTTTCTTTTTTAAGTAGGAGTCTTATTGTATTGCCCAGGTTGGAGTGCATGCTCACGGTCACCACAGTCTCGATATGCTAGGCTCAGGTGATCCTTCCGCCTCAGCCTTCCAAGTAGCTGGAACCACAGGTACATGCCACCATGCCTAGCTAATTTTTGGGTTTACTGTAGAGACAAGGTCTTGCCAAGTTGCCCAGGCTTGTCTCAAACCCCTGAACTCAGGCAATTCTCTTGCCTCCACCTCCCAAAGTGATGAAATTACAGGCGTGAACTACTGTGCCCAGCTTATTTCCTTATATTACTACCATTCCAATATTGCTCTGACTGCCATCTCCACACATTCATTTATCACAAGATCCACGAAGGGAACAAATCTCTGGACATGTATGCCTCAATTTAATTTCAATGATAACTTCTTGTTCATACATGTTTTTTCAATTTGGGCAGGTGAGCTGGAAAACCTTTTGATACGTTTAAATACTTTTATTATACAGTATTTCCTATAGGTTTTTAAAGCAAATACTTAACTATGTGCTAGGCACTGTTTTAAGGACTTTATGTTAATTCATTTAATTCTCACAGCATCCTGAGACATTATTATTTTTCCCATAGAGGTGGAAAATGAGGCATCAGAGGTCAAGTAATATGCCCAACAGTCATACAAGTGGAGGACTAGAACTCTAACCCAGGAAGTCTGGCTTTAGAGTCTGTTTATCATATTTTCTTAATGATTTTGTTAAGAAACACAGACAAACAGCTGTATAGAAACAGGACTCTTCAATAGTGGAAAACTGCCAGGGGAGGGGGGGTGGGATTGGCAGTTGAGGGAAACTGCTAGGGAGGGAGGGGCACACCTCATCAACAAGGGTACCTGCATAATCAACGTTTGTATACCTAACCCTGAATTTTACCCCACATCTTTAAAATTAAAGAAAAAAAAAAAAAAGAAATAGGAATCTTAGCCCCATACTCACATTAAGGAAACGGCCCACATTTCCTTCTTTTGTGGCATCCAATAAAAACACATTCCCTTTATTGGACTTCGTTAAAGAATCTGATGAAGTATTCTTGGTTTCACTTGGCAACTCTTCATCACAAAAAATCTGCTGCTTTTGGCATGGTGGAGGTTGTTCCTCTTGGGGTTTTCGTATTTTAGCCTCAAAGTCCTTGTTAATATTCTGATTAACCAATGTGGTTGCTTGGTTATATCTGCTCCCTGGGGGAGTTTCCTTTCTACATTTAGTGATATCTATGACATCTGATTCAATCAGCAGATTGTCTTCAGAATCTTCAACTTGGTTTGAACTTGAGTCCTCTAATAAACATTTTGGAAGGAAATGTCAGGAAATACACTTGGCTGAGCAATACTGCTGAAATTAACAACACGAATTAGATACTATTTTCTTTAATTATCATTAATTCTTATAATGAGTTAGGTAGGTAGTATTATTTTATTTTTTATTTTTTTTGAGTTGGAGTAAACTCTGTTGCTCAGGCTGGAGTGCAGTGACACACTCCCGACCACTGCAGCATCGACCTGCTGGACTCAGGAGATCCTTCTGCCTATCCTTCCAAGTAGCTGGAACTATAGGCGCGCACTACCATGCCCAGCTAATTTTTTATTTTATTGTAGAGACAAGGTCTCACCATGTTGCCTAGGCTAGTTTCGAACCCGTGGGCTTAGGCAATCCTCTCACCTCGGTCTCCCAAAGTGCTGGGATTATAGGCTTGAGTCACCGTGCCTGGCCTGGTATTATTATTATTATTATTATTTTTCTTGAGTTGGAGTCTCACTCTGTCGCCCAGACTGGAGTGCAGTGGCACACTCCCGGCCACTGCAGCCTCGACTTGCTGGGCTCCGGTGATCCTTCCACCTCAGCTTTCCAAGTAGCTGGAACTACAAGTGCGCACTACCACGCCCGGCTAATTTTTGATTTATTGTAGAGATGAGGTCTTGTTAAGTTGCCCGGGTGGGTCTCGGACCCGCAGGGTCAGGCAATTCACTCACCTCGGCCTCCCAAAGCACGGGATTACAGGGTGAGCCACCGAGCCCGACCAGTATTATTTTAATTGTACAAATGAAAACTGAGTCTCTGAAAAGTTAAGAGATTCACCTGACCCAAAATAATGACAAACCCAGAAATGTTTGGCTCCCAATATCTGTTTTCTTTCTACCACATGACAATGCCTTTTTATGACTCTATATATGTTTCCTCAATACTATATTTAATTTCTACTCTTTTTTTTGAGTTGGAGTCTTACTGTCACCCAGGCTGGAGTGCAGTGGCATGCTCACGGCCACCGTAGCCTTGACCTGCTGAACTCAGGTGATCCTTCCGCCTCAGCCTTCCAAGTAGCTGGAATCACAGGTGTGCACCACCATGCCTGGCCAATTTTTTGATTTATTGTAGAGATGCGGTCTTGCCAAGTTACCCAAGCTGGTCTCGCACCAGTGAACTCAGATAATCCTCTCGCCTCTGCCTCCCTAAAGTGCTGGGATTATAGGCATGAGCCACCACACCTGGCTCTACTCTTAACAAACTAATTTTCTTTTCTTTAACCCTAGAATCTGCATTTAAGTATATTCTAAACAGATGTAACAGAGTGAGTGTTTCAGAGGCACTCTAGGCCTTTACAAAGCAAATAAAAGGCCTGAGAAGACTCAGTCTGAATCACCCTCCCCAGGGCCCAACAATGACAAGTGTACTGCTAGGGGTTTTGTAAACATCAGTGTTTGCTGTTTTGCCAAATGACCATTCATTACATTTTTATAAACAATTAATAGTTTAAAAGTGGATGTACTGCTTAATCATTTTTCTTATCCAATAAGGAAAATAACTTTTTGACAGCCTTTAAAAGTATGAATGCATTTCACACAGAATAAGTAATATCATTTATTTAAAAAATGCCACTCATGCCACCTAACTCAGTGACACAAAAAAATTATATTTATTTTTCTAAAATTAAGGCTCTTGGTTGGGTACAGTGGCTCATGCCTATAATCTCAGCACTTTCGGAGATTGAGGTAGGGTGATTGCTTGAGCCCAGGAGCTCGAGACCAGCCTGGGCAACATGGTGATACTCTGTCTCTACTAAAAATAAAAAAATTAGCCAGGCAAAGTAGCATGTGACAGTAGTCCTAGCTATTTGGGAGGCTGAGGCAGGAGTATCAAGATGGCCCGAGCCCAGTTCAAGGCTATATCAAACTATGATCATGCTACTGCACTCCAGCCTGGGCTGCAGAGCAAGACCTTGTCTCTAAAACAAAACCAACAAATAAAATTAAGGCTCTTGATTTAATCATTATTTTTGCTGACTGCTATTCCTATATGTACTCATGGGGAGTAGGGGATGCAGGGGAGAGAAGAAACAGCAGTGGCTGGCCAATTCTTCATAAAAGGACATCTTTCAGTAATATCTCCCCACTAAGGGACACCCTGAAATGCAAAAGCACCAAAATAAGGTTTGTCCACTTGTATTAACTATGGCAGGGATGGGTAACTCTGAAGGACAGACACTCGGGGTAGCAATACTTTAGCCTTTTGCTAGAGTCATGCTGAACAGTCTCTGCAGCATTGGTTAGACTATTGCAGGAGAGTGATATGCCTTTATTTTTTCTAGGAGTCCAAAACACGGAGTTAGAAAGTGGCTGCTTTGGACAGTGCTTCCAAAGTCACAGACAACAATGCTGGATCACATAGAATCAGAATTGTCCATCTGACCTCTTCTGCCAGGCATCAAGTCACTGTTGGCAACTGGACCAGAGGTTAGCAAACTTCTGTAAAGGGCCCACCAGCAAATATTTTTGGGTTTGCTGGTCATGTGATTTCTGTTGTAACCATTCAACTATGCTACTGTAGTATGAAAGTTGGCAATATGCAAATGTTAATTGGCTGTGTTCTAATACTGTGTACTAATACACAGTAATAAACTATATTTATGAACACTGAAATTATAATTTTATATAGTTTTATGTAATTTTATATAATTTTCACATGTCACAAAATATTATTTGCCCTCTAATTTTTTTCTATTTAAAAATGTAAAAACGAATCTAAGCTCACATGCCATATTTGACAGGTGGTGAGCCAGAGTTAATTTACAAACAACAGCTTGCCCACCTGGGATCTAGGCAAGTTAAACTTTTGTGACAAATGCAGAATGTCTGTTATGATATCTGAAAAAATGAGTCACATGTATTGAGCAAGAGACAAGTAGAAAAGGAAGATGATCACAGAATGAAACAAAGCCTACTTTGTGCTCCTTCAGCTGTAGAGTTCAGATGTCCTTGAGTTGATTTAAATCCATCATTATCTTCTAAGGTGATAGACTCCAAGGAAACAGAGTCCTTAAAAAAACAAGAAAGATGTCTTTACTTTCTAGGTCAGGAAAAAACAGGCCTCTTTCATCAAGTGTCGATATTCACAGCTTGTATGTAGTAGATTAGTTTTGAAAAGCCTCATAGCTGACATCATAAGCAGTCTTTAAACTCATGGAGCCAGTCAGGCATGGTAGCCCACGGCTCACGTCTGTAATCCCAGCACTTTGGAAGACTGAGGTGAGAGGACTGCCCAAGCCCAAGGGTTCGAGTCCAGCCTGGACAATTTGGCAAGACCTTGTCTCTACAATAAACCAAAAATTAGCCAGCCGTGGTAGCCCACGGGTTTGAAACCAGCCTGAGCAACTTGGTAAGACCTCAACTCTACAATAAATACAAAAATTAGCTGGGTGTGGTGGTACGTGCCTGTAGTTCCAGCTATTTGGAAGGCTGAGGTGGGCTCAACAGGTTGAGGCTGAGGTAACCATGAGCATACCACTGCAACTCCAGCCTGGGTGACAGTGAGACTCTGACTCAAAAAAAAAAATTGACTTCAATTCTATGTGATATTGAGATGTGCAAAGATAAAAACATTCACTGGCTAGTTACTACTTCAAAAAAAAATTAAAGAATTTACCTGTCTTTATGCATTGTAGACATTGCATTTAATGCCTGGCACCCAAGTAAGTGCTCAATAAATGTTGATCATTATTACACTATTTACATTCTCAGTATTTGAATTGTCAAGACTTATTGAGACCATGCTGGTGCCAAGCATGGTGCTAAGCAGTTTCTGATGTCTATCTCATTTAAACTTGATAACTCTAAGACAGATACTATTATCCTTTCATAGATAAAAGAAATGGCTGGGCATGGTGGTTCATGCCTGTAATCCCTGCATGAATCCCTTGGGAGGCTGGGACAAGAGGATCGCTTGAGCCCAGGAGTTTGAGAGCAGTCTAAGTAACATAGGGAGACATCTTCTCTACCTGCCCCCACCAAAAAAAAAAATGCATGCATGGAGATGTCATCTAGTTAGCAGGTCTGTGTGGCCCCATGGCCCAATCTTTTCATAATTATGTGATACTGAGGAGGCATTTACTGTACTATTACTAGTCAGAGAGCAAATATTTGCTTGACACCTACAGCAGAGTTTTTATTTTTCATCAAAAAGTTTAAAGTAAACTAGAATTATGTCTCCCTCTGTTCTTTTTCCTATATCTTTCTCTGCTTCTAATTTTTAGTCTCTGACTAGTCTTCTCAGTTCAGAGTGTTCCATTGAGGTTACCATGTAAAGTAGTGTTTTCTGGATAATTCTTTTTTTTTTTTTTTTTTGAGTCGTAGTCTCACTCTGTCGCCCAGACTGGAGTGCAGTGGCCGCTCCCGGCCACCGCAGCCTCGACCTGCTGGGCTCCGGCGATCCTTCTGCCTCAGCCTTCCAAGTAGCCGGAATTACAGGCATGTGCTACCATGCCCGGCTGATTTTTTTATTTATTGTAGAGATGAGGTCTCGCTGCCCAGGCGGGTCTCGAACCCGTGGGGCTCAGGCAATCCACTCACCTCAGCCTCCCAAAGGCGCGGGATTACAGGCTGAGTCCCCGAGCCAGGCTGTGGATAATTCTTTCATGAAATTGCGCCTCTTCTTTCTCCTACATCTGAAAACCTCCTTCTCTTTAACCTAAATTACTCAGTCCTTTTCATTATTATATGTCACTATTTTTTATTTTTTGAGTTGGAGTCTTATTCTGTTGCCCAGGCTAGAGTCAGTAGCACACTCATAGCCACCGCAGCCTTGACCTGCTGGGCTCAGGCAATCCTTCCGCCTCAACTTTCCAAGTAGCTGGAACTATAGGCATGTGTAATCACACCTGGCTAATTTTTTTGATTTACAGTAGAGATGAGGTCTCACCAAGTTGCCCAGGCTGGTCTCGAACTCGTGGGTTCAGGCAATCTGCTCACCTCGGCCTCCCAAAATGCTGGGATTATAGGCATGAGCCACCACACCTGGCCTATATGTCACTATTAACTCTTGAACACTTAAGCTTTTCTCACAAATTTTCAGAGTGGGACAGTTCTTAGTCTCAGTGGACATACTGACAGATCATCTATCTAAGCTGGCAACAAGCCAACTGCCATGGATGCTACTAAAGAAATAAAACATAGGCCTAACACTTCCACAGTTGACCCATTCCGAAACAATGAAAGAAATTCTACAGTCTTAAGTAACACAAACATTCTCATCTAAATAAAAGTTAGAAAGGTCAGGCAGTAGTTTATATTCTCAGAAGGGTATCATCTATATTTTGTAGTTTTTATCACCTTTCTCCCATTGCGTTGAAAAATGGCTGTCTTAGATGTAGGACTTCTAATAACTGAATGATATTGAATTCTTGAAATATTGTTATACTTCATTTCCCTGAAAAAGAAAAAAAAGTTATTCTGTATATACTAAAAATTCTCCTTATTGGACCTTGAAATGTAGATATCACTATTACATAAATGTCCATGAATGTCCATGATTATTAGATATTAAGTAAAAAACATCTATGACCACCCCTCATTGAAAAAAGGACATATAATCATACTTAAAGTCAATGATTTTTAAGTATGTTAAAAAAAAGGAATTTTTTTAAGCTTTGCAGTTAGGCTAATAGTATAAAACAAAAAGGACAGCAAAACTTATGGCATCCATAAAAATCCTGATTAAAGTCATATAAGGTAAAATTCCAGAAATGGGACACCAAGGAAAGTATGCTGGCTAGCTTTATTTTTTCCCCTCTTTTATTTTAAAGATGTGGGGTACAATTCAGGGTTAGGTACATAAGTGCCTATCGTACAGGTAAAGTTTGGGTGCCCTAATTGATATTATGTGCACCCTCCCCCCAGCAGTGTTCTACTACTGCCAATCCCTTTCTTATAATATTATGAACTGGCTAGCTTTTTGAGTGTCCTTGATTTCTCAGTGTTAAAGGTATAACCGTGAAGCAAGATGACATATAGAAGTGGGGGAAAATTAAGCAAGAGAGGAAGGAGAAAAAACCATTTTTAATAAAAAGTTAGATTTCCTCTGGGTTCCTAAGCTCTTACTTACGTAATAAGCTCTTTGGGATTATTATAGAACTTTGGTGGACATTCCTCAGTTTTAACACTTCTAGACTGTGTTTCCAAGTCTAATGGAATAACTTCAACCTCACAATCAGAACATGCAACTTCCATTTTCCTTTTTTTCGAAAACATATTTTTCATAGTATTCTCTTCTTTTCCATTTTCATCAATTGCATTAGGTTTCTCAGTGTTAGCTCTACCGAGTAATCTTCCTAAAAGAGTTTGAACAAAACAGAAGATTACATAATTGCTAACAACAAACAAACATCTCTATTTCTGCATTAGGTTAAAGAACTTTGTACTGTTTACTTTATTTCTAGAATGAAGATAAACACATTAAGTCATTCTAGAAAATTGTTGTAAAATAAACAAAGGTCAATGAGGGAACTCTTGTCTTCCAATGTATATATATTGGATACTATATGTATAGTATATTATACTATCTAACCATTTGTCTGTTTTGGTATTATACAAAAGAAAAGAGATTTAGCTATAATAATATAAAACAAAAATATGGATCATAAAGTATTCTAGAAAATTAGAGAGGTGACCACTAGTCTTAAAATTGTAGCTTTTGTGTCTGGCTAAAAAGGTTTTAGCTGGGCACAGTGGCTCAAGTCTGTAATCCCAGTACTTTGGGAGGTGGAGGTGAAAGGATTGCCTGATTCCAAGGGTTTGAGATCAGCTTAGGCAACTTGGCAAGACCTCGTCTCTACAATAAATCAATAAATTTAGCTGGACCTGGTGGTGTGCACCTGTGGGTGCAGCTACTTGGAAGGCTGAGGCAGAAGGATCACCTGAGCCCAGCAGGTCAAGGCTGAGGTGGCCATGAGTGTGCTACTGCGCTTCAGCCTGGGTAACAGAGTAAGACTCCTACTCAGAAAAAAATAAATAAACAAAAATAAAAATAAAAAAGCTTTATTATTCAAAACTTACACTTTTAAATAAAATTGGCTGTTTAAATATGTGATGATAAGTACCTACTGTTCTCATATTAACTCCTGCATTAAAGTTGTAATCTAAAGATTACACATTTTCTTTCAAGGGGCTCAGAATTATAGTTACCAAGTCAAAATTAGCAGCAGGATATTCTTAGCCATCATTCAATCAGAGAGAACTTAGGTACATTTTCGAGCAATGCAGATAATGCCAGTGATACTTCCTGGAGACAATTTGGGATTTTAGAGACAGTTTTTATCTATGAGTTATTTTGAGACGTATGAGAGAGGGACGTGTAGGCAGGCTGTGTAGTATGTGTCCAAGTGGGGTGTGGCAGGGATCCGTAAGTGCGACTGCGGGCCTCTGCTTGCCCTGCCCTCTCTGAAGTGAAGCTGGACTTTCAAGTGAGGAGGGTTGCTCTGGTCCCTGTTGCCCAGCTACCAAGATTCAGTCCAGCACATTTCCTTTAGGCTGGCTGTAAAGCTGTGTTTCCTAAACTTTCTCACATGCTGGTGTACACAGAAAATAAGGCTTTTTGCCTGACATGCTGGGGGTAGATGGGCAAGATACTGAGACCGAGAAGTTCGGACCTTGGGGCTGTGGTGCTAAGGAATCAGTAACTGCACAACTGTAAGACACTACTTGGGAAGTTTTGCTCTAGAGTATGGGCAACTCTTTGGACTCCCTGCAGTGGAGGGAGCTGCCTAAAATCACTGCCTGAATCATCCCATGAGATGTTTATTACCAAATTAACTTGTTAAATCTAATAATAGCTCAAAACACTGGACAAAATAGTCTTTGATTGCTAACCTTTACCTTAGCAAGCCAGTCATCTAGTTTTTGTTTTTGCTTTTTTTTTTGAGTTGGAGCCTCACTCTGGCGCCCAGACTGGAGTGCAGTGGCCGCTCCCGGCCACCGCAGCCTCGACCTGCTGGGCTCCGGCGATCCTTCCGCCTCAGCCTTCCAAGTAGCCGGAATTACAGGCAAGCGCTACCACGCCCGGCTGATTTTTTTTACTTATTGAAGAGATGAGGTCTCGCTGCCCAGGCGGGTCTCGAACCCGCGGGCTCAGGCAATCCACTCACCTCAGCCTCCCAAAGGCGCGGGATTACAGGCTGAGCCACCGAGCCTGGCTTGTTTTTTTAAGTTTTCTTCCCTTACCCCAAAGCATCCACAGCCATAGAGACAAAACAAGACAAAAGTGCCTTGTACATAACAGGCCATCACGCAATAACCTAGGTTTTATCTCTGAGCCTTTCTTTTCTGGAACATGTGGTACCTCCTAGGGTATCTCATCCCTTCAGTGTTCAATTTCCCAGTCCCTTCCCTTCCTCTGATCCCCTCTTAGATTTTACTTTGCTGTAAGATCTCAAAGGCCCTGACTAGGAAAACGAATATTCAGAAGAGTAGATCCTACTACAGAATAATCTGTAAATAAATCTTTGCTTTACCTGAATAAATGCAAACAAATGTCCCTCTGTCAATGTCATCCAGGCAGCGTACCCCCCATCCCTTCTTCTCAGTTTTGAACACCTGTAGCCTCACTTGAGGACCATGTTGGACAACTCGGTTTTGACATAATCGTCGATTACATTTGCACAACAGGCTGCATTCATAAATGCTGTAATAAAATATGCAAAAGAGAAAATTGGACAACACAAAAAGCAAAAAGCAGTTTATACTGCCACTTCGCTGGCACTGACAACTACCGAGGGAAGATTAAGTCTGAAAGTTCTTAGAGCTAAACTGCCTAGGTTCCCACCACAGCTTCTGTATTTACTAGGTGTGTGACCTTGGATGAGTTATTTAACCTCTCTGTGCTTTCATTTTTCATTTTAAAAATAGAGATTATATAATGGTACCTACTTCAAAGGGCTGTCTTGTGAAGATTAAGCCATCGATATTTACAAGGTACTTAAGACAAAGCTTGGTACAAAGTAAATGTTAGCTTTTTAAGAATGTCTTTTTAAAGGTATTATTATTTGTTAATAACAACCATGAAAGGCTGAAAATTCCCAATTCTCAGATGAGTTTTGCATAATATATTCTCAATAGGGAAATGACTATCCAAAACAGGCTGACCCTAGAGGGGTAAGAGCCAGATCCAAAGCATGTTTACTTTGCATGTTATATGTGTGGTCTCTGAATTCCATTTCCTTGAACAATACACAGGTTTTTTATTCTTTAATAATTTAGATTTTTGGTATTATGAACTGAGATTTAACAATATCTATAAGACTGCAGACCACAATTTTAAAAATACCTACCTTCAAAGATACAAACACCCTGCAACAAATACTCAAGTATCTTACCCAGTAGGTATTTGTCTCTGTAGTCTCTTATATTTATATCCAGTGGTTACTGTATTACTTGACAAGGGACAAGTTTTGGCATTCCTTGCTGTCAGCTGAAGACATGCACATTTTGTACTAAAAAGAAGGCAATGGATGGAGAAGTCAGAATAAAGAAGCACCAAATTAACTAAGATTGTCTTGATAAAAGCATAATTAATGTTGCAAAGGATGCAACAGCATTTAGAATAGTTGTTTGGTTCCTGAACAGTATGGACTTCTTCCCTAAATAGAATAGACCCTTTGAAGGACAACATCTAATATATAAATAACTTTACACTGTACCTCTATTTGCTCATGAAATAAATACTTAAGCCGGGCTCGGTGGCTCAGCCTGTAATCCTGCACTTTGGGAGGCTGAGGTGAGTGGAGTGCCTGAGCCCGTGGGTTCGAGACTAGCCTGGGCAACTTGGCGAGCCCACATCTCTACAATAAATAAAAAAAATCAGCCAGGTGTGGTAGCGCGTGCCTGTAATTCTGGCTACTCGGAAGGCTGAAGCGGAAGATCGCCAGAGCCCAGCAGGTCAGGGTTGCAGTAGTCGGGAGTGTGCCACTACACTCCAGTCTGGGCGACAGAGTGAGACTCCAACTCAAAAAAAAAAAAAAAAAAGAAAGAAATACTTAATTTTATGAGTTTTCCTTAGCTTTTCAAAATGAATTACTTTTCTTTTTTTCTGAGTTAGAGTCTCACTCTGCCGCCCAGGCTGGAGTGCAGTGGCATGCTCTCGACCACTGCAGCCCCGACCTACTGGGCTCAGGTGATCCTTCCACCTCAGCCTTCCAAGTAGCTTGGAACTACAGGCATGCATCACCACTCCTGGCTGGGATTTTTTTTTTTTTTTTAGTTGTAATCTCACTCTGTTGCCCAGGCTGGTGTGCAGTGGCACACTCATGGCCACTGCAGCCTTGACCTGCTGGGCTCAGGCGATCCTTCTGCCTCAGCCTTCCAAGTAGCTGTAACTACAGGCACATGCTACCACGCCTGGCTTATTTTTTAATTTATTGTAAAGACGAGGTCTCACCAAGTTGCCCAGGCTGGTCTTGAACCCCTGAGCTCAGGCAATTCTCTCACCTTGGCATCCCAAAGTGCTGGAACCATAGGCATGAGCCACTGAGCCCGGCCAAAATGAATTAGTTTTATTTCCTATTCAGTAGAAGCTTATTTGTGAAAATTCTGCTAGTTCTTCTCTCCTACAATGGATAAACTTAAGTGTGTCAAATTTGCAAAGGCATAGTTTTACAGATGTCTTAAATTCTCTCTCCAGTGACACAAAAACAGACTGGGGAGATTGATGCTGGGTATCTAGCTACTCAAATCCTTTTTTCATACTGTTGCCAGGCAGAAAACTTGCAACCATAAAATTTAAACTTTCCCTCTAACTAGTTAGATGACTGTCTAAACCTGACAGGGACTCGTAATTCAATAGAGTAAGGATCTCAGCTGTGAACTGGTATGTGATTACTGGTGAGCTGGTTAAAATCTCTGGATCTTAGTCTTCTTTGTTGAACAAGTGACTCTAAGGTCTTTTTCTCTATAATTCTCTTCTGTATTTTCTGTATATACATAATACACATCAGATTGGTGGCTGCTATTTGCAAGAGAAAAAAAATCAACAAATTCATTAATTCGGTTTCTGTTTACAGCTGTAAAAATCTATGGTGGCTCTTTTCCATATGATTGTACGCAATGTTTAAAAAGTATAGAAAAGTACAAATAATAATAGACACCTATATTTCTACCACCCAGAGTTAGTTGTCGGTACTTTATCCAGTCCTTCTTTTTCCTATGTATGTAATTTAAAATATATGCACCATATGTGTGGTCATTAAAAAAGTTAAAACATTACAGAGAAAACAAAACTCTCAAGAGTTTTGGGGTGCTGTCCTTTACACTTTCATATACACATATATCTAGATAATATACTGTATTTTTTCTCATGAAAAAAAACTATAGTTGTTATTCTATGATTGCTACTCTTTTTAAAAAAAAATATAATGTTTCTGAGATCTATCTGTGCTATATACAGATCTGGCAAATTCCTGTTAACTTTTTGACAGTCTTTAGTTACTGCCTACTTGATATACAATTAAGTTGTCTATAGTTTTTCAATATAATAATGTTGCAAGGAGGATCCTTTTTATTTTATTTATTTTTTGAGTCAGAGTTTCACTCTATCATCCAGGCTGGAGTATAGTGGCATGCGCATGGCCACCTCAGCCTCTACCTGCTGGGCTCAGGTGATCCTTCCACCTCAACCTTCAAAGTAGTTGGAACCACAGGTGTGTGCCACCACACCCAGTTAATTTTTTTGATTTATTATAGCGATTAAGTCTTGCCAAGTTCCCTGGGCTCAGGTAATCCTCTTGCCTCAGTCTCCTAAAGTGCTGGGATTACAGGTGTGAGCCACCGTGCCCCCTCCCCCTTTAAAGAGGCAGGGTCTTGCTGTGTTGTCCAGGCTGGAATAAAGTGATATGATTATAGCTCACTGCAGCCTTGAACCCAGTGCTCAAGTGATCCTTCTGCCTTTGCCTCCCAAGTAGCTGGGACTACAGGCATGAGCCACCATGCTCAGTTAATTTATTATTATTATTATTTTTTGTAGAGATGGGGTCTTGCCCAGGCTGGTCCAGAACTCCTAGCTTCAAGTGATCCTTCTGCCTTGGCCTTCCAAAGCACTGGGACTACAGTTGTGAGTCATTATACCCATCAAGTATCCTTATTATTCACATGTGTAAGCATCTCTAAGGTAGCAGCTTTCAAATATTTTTGACCATGACCCACAGTAATAAATACATTTTCGTCATGATCTTGTACAGGCATATATATTTACACACACATATGCATATAAACTGAAACAAACCCTTATGTATGATGCACTTGGGTATTTTCTGTACTATTTAATTTTAAAAAGGCTAATTATAACTCATTAAAAGTGTTTATATCCCACTAAACTTGTCGTTTGGAAAATGATGCTCTAGATAAAAGTACTATTGGTAAAAAAAAAAAAAAAAAAGCAATAAAAAAATATATATCTTAAATTGCTGTGTAATTGGAAAAAAAATCACCCTTTCACTTTAAATGATTAGCTAGGTACAAAATTTTAGTTTTACAATAATCTTCTTTTAGCACTTTACGCTATATGCCATTTTTCTGTCTTCTATTATTTCTGATGAAAAGTATGTTATCAGTCTGTTTGTCCTTTGTATGAAATTTGTCTTTTCTAGCTGATAGCTTTTGGGATTTACCCTTTACTCCAAATATTTTCAAAGCTGCATCATTTTGCATAACTATATATTTAGAACATTAACCCCATTTCGTCTTCTTCATACAGAATAGGCTTTTTCAATTTGAGGACGCCTTTCTTCAATTTTGGAAAATTTTCAGTGATTATCTCTTTGTTATGTCTTTTCCCATTTTCTGTCTTCCTCTCAGATGCATAATGGTATTCCTCATTTTATGCTCCATATTTTTTTAACCTGTAAGTTACTTTCCCCATATCTTTATCTCTTTGCATTCGGAGAGACCTCTTTAGTTCTACTTTACAATTCACTAAGTCTTTTTGAGAGACGGTCTTGCTGTGTTGCCTAGGCCAAAGGGCTGGGGTGCAATTATAGCTCAAGCAAGTCTCCTGCCTCAGTTTCCCAAGTAGCTGGGATTAGAGACACGTGCCTAGCTAATTTAAAAAATTTTTGTAGCGACAGGGTCCAGGCTGGTCTCAAACTCCTGGGCTCAAGCAATCCTCTGGCCTCAGTCTCCCAAAGTGCTGAGATTATAGGTGTGTGCCACAGCACCCAGCCCAATTCAGGAATTCTTTCTTCAATTATACCAACTCTACAATTTCATCCATCTATTTAGTTGTTACCTCAATGACTATGTGTTTTATTTTCCATATTTCCAAATGGCTCTTTCATAAATATCATATTCCTTTTATAATCTCCTTTTCTTGTTTCATGGATGTATGTGTTTTATCTCTTTTGACATTTTAGAAACACCTATTTCAATCAGATTCTACATTTGTCTCTGATTCCTCTGGTGAAAATTCTTTGTACTTGTTGGGACTCATGCTGCTGCCTGCAGTCCTAAATATTTTTGCGTGCTTTAAATGTCTGAGGGCAACCATCTTTGGGGTCCTCTCCCACTGCAGGAGCTTTTTGGTCTTTTTTTTTTTTTTTTTTGAGTTAGAGTCTTATTCTGTCATCCAGGCTGGAGTGCAGTGGCACACTCACCGCCACCACAGCCTCAACCTGCTGGGCTCAGGTGATCCTTCCATCTCAGACTTCCAAGTAGCTGAAACAACCGGTGCGCGCCACCACGCCTGGCTAATTGTTGTTGTTGCTTTTTAATTTATTGTAGAGATGAGGTCTCACCAAGTTGCCCAGACTGGTCTCGAACTCCTGGACTCAGGCAATCCTCTTGCCTCGGCCTCCCAAAGTGCTAAGATTCCAGGCTTGAGCCACTGTGCTCAGCCTTTTCTGTCTTCTTAATAAACTTGTGCTTTCTAACCAAAAAAAAAAGTCTGTTTGAAACCATGCCTCCTGAGGGGTTTACTCCTGTGTACTCTATGTTGGCTGCTTTTTCCATTGCTTTGGTTCTGCCCTATTGGTTTGACAGTTGTGAAACAGATTTTCATTAATACAGTTTCAGGCCTTGAGAAATATTGGCCTAGTTCCCAATCTTGAGCAGGTACCTGTTTCTATCTCCCTGAAGAGCTCAGTGCTCAGATGAAGTAGTTGGGTTAAATTCAGAGGCAATGTTTACAAAATAAAATACATATTTTTAAACAGACTAAAACTTAGCACAGTGAGGGGTTCTCTCTATGAGCGGCTTAAAGCAATTGAGTAACAGTATATTTATAACTCTCATTTCACACCCCAACTAACAGAGGACAGCGAAAATTATTATCTATGCTATTTAAATTATACCTTCCTTTTATTCTTTTTCTTTTGCCTAGTTCAGGTAGCTAAATTTGCACTAAGTTAAATGTAGATATAATCCAGCAACACTCTACATCTGTATACCTACAAATTACATGTATATCATATGTTCTTAAAATGTTTTTTAAAGTTTTAATATATTAGAACATGTTGCCATTTTAAAAATGTAATGTCAATACTGTACTATAATCAAGAGAATACCAGTTATAAGCATCATCACCCTTCAAAAAATTAGCTAGGCAATGATTTTTAATTGTAAAAATGTATTTTTAATTGTGAAATACAACACATAAGACAGTAATAAAGAACATGGGTTCAAACATGGCTCTATAATAAACTCTCCAAATTGACTTCTCTGAGACTCAGTTTCCTTATCTATTACGTGGAGATAATCTACTTCATGGGTTTTTGTTAGGAATCAGAAAATATGTCATGCGTGGTGGTGTCCACTTGAGCCTAGGAGTTTGAGGTTGCAATAAGCTATAATCACATCACTGCACTACTGCCTTGGTGACAGAGTGAGACCCTGCCTCTAAAAACAAAATTGTTTTTAAACTTAAAAAATCATAAAAAAAGAATAAGAATGTAAAGTACTTGTCACAGTGTCTGGTACTATTGAGTGACATTTGTTGTAATTGCTATTATTATGATTATGGTACTAGATTAAAGGAAATATTTATCCTTGGAAGAAATAATGTTCAAATTACTATATTTGGCAAACAGTTTCTTTCCTCTTGCTAATGAAACAATGCATCTTTCCATTTAGACTCTTAGTGAACATATTTTAGAGAGACAGACAGATTAAACTGATACACAGCGGGACTTCTTAACAATTATCCCTATAGTCAGAAGATGCTTTGAAATGCCATGTTTTTTACTCACATGTCTGTGCAGCCCTCAGAACAGTCACATGAATCAGTAAACATGCTGGAAAAGCTGTTGAGATAATATTCCCGTGGCCATATAGTCTTTCTGTACTTAAACTGTGGAAGCTTTCTACTGTCAATTTCATTACAAAAAGAAATAGGTACTGATTCCACTCCATTGCTAATATCCACATCAGAAACAATTTCTTCTTGCTTTGGGTAATTCCGAGTCAATTGAACATAGGTATTGAAAGAAAAGTTATCTGTAAATAAAAAGTTACACTCTGTCTCAAGCAGGTAACGAAAAACTTCCTCCATGTTTCGCAGACTCCTTCCACAGGGGGTTTTATAACTCACGTGGAGTGCTGAAGAATGAGAGTTTGTCTTCGCATGTCGTCTCTGGAAGTGACAATTGATTGGTAGCTGCAGAGGGTTTTCCCCCTTGAAAGTTGATGGCATTTTCATCAGACAGGCACCAAAGCAGTCATGACTTTGGTAAGGTAACTTCAAAGACGATTCTTTTTCTCTAAAGTCTACAGCTTTATTTTCCAGAGAGGAGATTTTCTTATTTTCTGTGTATCTGTTAAAGTAAATAAGTTATTAGTATCTTAAATTTATAGTTCAATTCTCCACTTAAAAAAAAACACTCCATGTTAAGGTGGTATTTATTTCCCATTATCTTCTTAGAGAATATTAAAATAAGCCAGACTCTAAAATAAACATTTTAGGATGTTCTGCAGCCATATAAAGATTATACCTAATTCTTTTATTAATAAAACTTTTTTTAGACACGAGGTCTCACTATGTTGCCCGTGGAGTGCAGTGATTATCCACAGGCGTGATCGTAGCTCACTGCAGTTTCAAACTTCTGGCCTCAAGCAGTCCTCCTACCTCAGCCTCCTGAGTAGCTAAGACTACAGTCATATACTACCACGTTGGCCTTACACCTAAATTCAGAACACTCCAGGAAGCTGCAATTATAACTGTAACTTTCTGCTAGCAGCACCTCGCAAATTTAGAGTTTATTTAGGGCATACACTCAAAAAAGAATTGAGAAAGGTTACTTCTTCATGCATGCTTGGTTCAAGCTCTTTGCCTACAAAAAAAAAAAAAAAGGTAAAGGAAGGCTAGTTGAAGAATTATTAATTTTTCAAGAATCCTTTACATTGTTTGCCTTTGACAATTGTACCAACTGAATTTTTTCCATAATATGTAATCCACCTGGAAATCATACTGATACATCTGTGAATGATGGCAAACTGGCAGAAGAAAATGTGATGATTACTGATTTCAAGGAAAAAAAAAATCTGTGAAAAGATTCCATATGTTTGAAAATCAGGTTTTAAATTTTCAAAAGTAAACTGAGTTTTGTTTTACACAATATTTTCTATCTTCAGGCATATGTTACAAATAAAATAGGTATTTTACAGATTTAAAAATATATATTCACTATATAATGCAGTACTGTGCAATAGAACTTTCTCCATTGTTAGAAGTGGTCTATATTTGGGCTGTCTAATAGGGTAGCCATAAGGAATATGTGGCTACTGAGTACTTTTTAAAATGTCGCTAGTATGACCAAAAAACTGAATTTTAAGTTTCATCTAGTTTTAATTAATTCAAATTTATAAAGCCACATGTAGCTAGCGGCTTCCATACTGAATGTACAGATATAGAGCTTCCCCATCCTGTCTCCAGGTTTATGGTAATCCTCTGTGTGAGTCCACAATTAACTTAGTCTACAAGAGTGAACTTTCCCCCATATGTAGTATATACTAGACCAGTGAACTACTTAAATAAACTGGAACTTATGCAGTAATTTTTTAAGTGATCTTATCATAATAATCTCTGCTATTACAAATCATGTTGAACATAAAAATTTCATACATGTAAAGATATTACTACAGAATATTCCTGAAAATGGGAGTTGCTAGGTCACATGGTAAATGGATTAGTAACTCTGTTAATATTACCAAACTGCTCTCTATAGAGTCAATTCCTTCAGCAACATGAAAGTACTTGCTTTCACAGTTTTACCACTCAAGGAGGTCTTGATACTTTTTAAATCCAATATGGGAAAGAATGTACTGTAATTTATTTGTACACCTTTTAATGTTAGAGATGTTTGTTCCCAATTTACCTCTACTTACTACTTTGATGAACATCCTCAAATGTAAATCTCTGACCAAATTCCTGGGTATTACATAAAGAGACAGTCCTTTAAAAGGAATTATTATTAGCCGGGCATGGTGGTACACTCCTGTACTCCCAGGTACTTGGAAGGCTGAGGTGGAAGAATTGCCTGAACCAAGCAGGTTGAGACTGCAGTGGCCATGAGCATGCCACTGCACTCCAGCCTGGGTGACACAATGAGACTCCAACTCAAAAAAAAAAAAAAAAAAAAAAAAAAAAAAGAGGAATTATTGCTGGGTGTGGTGGCACCTGCCTGTAGTTCCAGCTACTTGGAAGGCTAAGGTGGAGGAGGATCATCTGAACCCAGCAAGGTGAGGTTGCAGTAGCTGTGAGAACTGCTTTGGGAGGCCGAGGTGAGAAGTCTGCCTGAGCCCATAGATTCAAGACCAGTCTGGGCAACTTGGCAAGACCTCATCTCTACAATAAATCAAAAAATTAGGTTTAAAAGTGCTTTCAGTATGTATTCCTGTTGACCTAGTAATTCTTCTTTTTGTTTTTTTGAGTCAGAGTCGCATTCTGTTGCCCAGTGTGGAGTTCAGTGGCACGTTCATGGCCACCACAGCCTCGGCCTGCTGGGCTCAGATGATCTTTCCTCCTCAACCTTCCCAGTAGCTGGAACCACAGGCACGAGCCACCACACCTGGCTAACTTTTTGATTTATTGTAGAGATGAAGTCTTGCCATGTTGCTCAGGCTGGTCTTGAAACTCTGAGCTCAGGTAATACTCTTGTCTCAGTCTCCCAAAGTGCTTGGATTACAGTTGTGAGCTACCCCACCGGGCCCTTCTGAGGTTTATATATACATATCTCCTACAACTCAGGACTGTTTCTCTCAAGAACCCGAAAGTCATCCCTTTGAAATGCAATTATTAGGAAGGATGGGGCTCCTGTTTCCCTGTCTCTTTGTGGGAGGATGAAATCTGAACTTTAATCTTTGATAACTGCCAGCTAGCAGACACAGCTAGCTGAATCACATTTACACTGACCAACCCTTTGCAATTTTTCACTAGTTCCTTTTCCTGACTCTCTGGATGCCCTTTAAAATGCCCAGTCACTTCTGCCCAAATGAGACTGGTGCTCAGCTCTTTCTACTACTGTTAGTGGTTACTGAGTACAATCTGTTTTCACTGCTTTAACTAATGTCTAGCTTTGTTATCTTTGATACTTATTAACAAGTTTTAATGATTATTAACATTTTTGCTTATTTTATTCCATCTATTCTCCCTCCCTTTTGTCCCACTCTGAAACTCACACCCACAAATTTATTTCTGCAGTATTTTAAAACAAACCCTAGACATCCCATTTTTTTTTTACCTGAAATAATTCAGTATATCTTTAACAGATAAAACTGTAAAATATACATAATCTTAATGGCCCATCTTCACATTTCTCTGAATCCAAACAAGTCCCAAATGTATTTGATTCAGACTCCTTTTATATCGCTCTAGCCTTATAGCAGTTATGGTTTCCCTTTTCATCTTATGGCATTTATTTGTTGAAGTTGAATAAATTGTGTCATTTCTCCTGTAGCATCATTACCCACATTCTTGAATTTGGCTGATGCCTTGCTTGTGGTGATGCCAATTTCCTTATTTCTCTATCCCTTCTATTTCTGGTAAACTGGTAGTCAGTTCTAGAAGGTTAATTAGATTCAGGCTCAACTTGGGTAAGAGGGTGGCAAGAATAATTCATAGGTGGTATTATGAATTTTCTATTGCATCACGTCAGGAGGCACACAATGGCTGGTTGTCTTACTTTTAGTGATGCTAAGGTTGATAAGAGAGAGGGTTTGGGTGTTTTCAGACAAATCAAACCTGTCCATTTAAGATTTCCTCATGAATCCTTCACTTATTGGTTTTGGCATTCACTTATGACTACTGCCTAGGCCAGTGCTACTCAAGGTGTGATGGTGCCACGTCTCCAATAGTTTGCTTCCAGTCTGTGATAACTGAAAAATCAAGTGTTTAGAAATTTTTATAGTAATTTAACACTGTTGCAAGATTGTATTGCATTTTATGAGACTATCACTTCTTAATAAACTGGAAGTTTAAGACAAAAGAAAACACCTCTCTTAGCAGAGTTTGGGATCACAAGCCTAAGGGCACTGTTGTGTGTGTGTGTGTGTGTGTGTGTGTGTGTGTGTGTGTGTGTGTGTGTGTTGCAAAATAACAATATTCTAATGGTATCACTCCTACTGAATTTTCTGGCTTGAATTCTTTTATAAAGAAGAAAGCCTAAGGGCACTGTTGTGTGTGTGTGTGTGTGTGTGTGTGTGTGTGTGTGTGTGTGTGTGTGTGTGTTGCAAAATAACAATATTCTAATGGTATCACTCCTACTGAATTTTCTGGCTTGAATTCTTTTATAAAGAAGAAATTTTCCTCACCGACCCTTGGGTTATCCTGCCATATAGGAAAGGGAGAATAAATGATTCTCTTTATTTATGAATATTCAGAATGAGTATATCCTAGCAATAGTCAATGTGACTGACTTTTGAAATATTAAATACATGCTATTATGAACTCATAAATTTTTATATATTTAATGTGTTTAAATTAATCACAATGACTCTTTGATGTTCAAATTGTGCCATTTTTTCACCAGTGGGAGCACCTTCAAGTTTGTTCCTCTATCCTTCTAATACAACCACTAGTGTGTGATAGCTTTTTTGGTTTCTGTTACAAGACGTCCCAGGCCTGGAGTCAGATATTTCTCTAAGGATCTTGGGTTTCATTTAATAAGAAATGGTGTGTAGAGATCACAATCGTAGTGCTAGGAGGTATACACTTTTTAATCAATACAGATCCCCAAACTGCTCTCTGGACCAATTTATACTTCATGGACATGTATGAATGCTGGTCTGAATATTGTTTTTAATTTTTTAACCCATTTCATACATGAAAAACAGTATAATACTCCCTAATTTGTTTTTCTCTAAATAACAGAAGTCTGAATATTATTTCATGTTATTGGTCTTTTGTGAAATATCTATTCATATATTGTGCCCATTTTTCTGTTGGGGGTTTGTTCATTCAAAGGTTTCTTGTGCTAGGTGCAATGGCTTATATCTATAGTCCCAGCTACTTGGGTGGCTGAGGTGGGCGAACTGTTTGAGCCCAGGGGTTCAGTGAGCTATAAATGCACAATTGCACTCCAGCTTGGTGACAGAGGGAGACTCTGTCTCTAAAAAAAAATTTTTCTTGAGTGACTGCAATGGAAAAAATGATGGCAGCTCCATGATCTCAGGAAGCTTATATTCTAGGTAGTACTTACAATAAAGACTATTACAATATTTACAATAAGGTCTAAAGAATGTTATAAATAAAGCTGTGATAAATGTCATGGAAACATATGAAAGACATCTAATTTTTAGTATTTTTCTGGATTTCTGA